TTTCACACGACACGTGTATTCTTACAAATTAAAACAAGATTTTCTTAGATAAATTTCAAATAAAAAAATGGATTGCTAAAACAGATGTCTTATAAGGTTTTTCCATGAGGATATACTTTTAAAGAAAAATTCTATTTGCATATTAATCTGATAAAAGTATAATTTTGTCGATACACCATGAATAATTAGATTTCGGACTCTATTTATGAGATCTATTAATTATTGTGCATATTTTTATTATTACTACTAGAATAATTAATTTTGAGTAAATCGTCAAAAAGCCAAATCGCAAAATAATATACTCCTACTAAAGTTTCTACTCTCTCCAGGTAGCCCAGCCAAAGTACTTTATATGTACATAAGAGGATGAGAAAATTAGATACAGAGATGAAAGAGAACGTTAAATATTATGAATGTGTTTGGCGGGAAGAAAAATATTGTTCAATTTTCTCATGTTTGATTGGCTTAAATATTTTGAAATATGTTTTCCAAATCAACTTATTTTCTTTAAATGACTTCCCTTAAAAATAAGTTAGGAAAACATTTTCCAAAATCCCTATTTATAATTATCATATCAAGAAGACGAATTTAATTAGGCATTACAGGAATATTAGCAAACATGTCTTACATTGCTCAGGAATCAAAGACGATATTAAGGGAAATAGATGAAAAAATGTCTATTAAAAGTGGATGTATCGAGCAATTAAGCAATATTATTTTTCTTTTGTGAATATAATAATCAGTAATTGACTAATGAACCTATATATTAATACCAATGGTACGCAGTGTAATTGTACTAATGTTTGTAATCAAGCTAATAAGTCATGAGATTAAATAAAGAATAAAATTTGCAATCCCTTTCAATTCACTCAAGTCTATATCACAGAAGACATTAATTCATCAAATAAATAGTTGCTTCAAAATTCAATAATAAATCTCATCTATGCACATCATAAAAGTTACTTCCTCTATTCAATTTTATGTGAGTTCAGCTAACTGTTATTGTTTAGGGTCAACTAATTATTTTTTTCTTTTTCTTTTCTGTATACAATTTCTCAAACATTTAAAAGAATATTTTGAATCATAATTAACTATGATTATTTGTAGTTTTTTTTTGTATAGTTTTAAAATATATAAATTTTATTTAAATTTTTAAAAATTAATTAACTACTTAGATTTTATCACATTATTCATTCACAAAACACACACTTTTCATGAGAATTCAAAAAAAACCCTTGAGTACTTAGTATAGTATGACAAAATTAAGCCCATGTACTCTACGTGTTACTTCCTTATGTCTTTTCCGTTTCCAATCGAACAACCAAACAAAAATTCTTCCAACAGAAGTTGAAAATCTAAAAAAAAAAAAAATACAATGAAGAACGTATAGAAATTTCTAAATTCATATTACATGAGATCATACACAAGAAATGATTACAACATGCCAATTTTTTACTCTCAAAAATAAAAAATATAGAGTGCATCGCTATTTGTTTTACATGCTACCTGGCGGTGCAAGAGTGATCAGAACTCTGATTTGGCATCAAAGCTCCACCTGATCCAGAAGACGATGCAGCAGTGTTGTTAGCATAATTGATCATGACATCCTTACGATTAAGCTTTTGAAGATAATTTCTGGTTCTTTTGACGTCATTATGATTAGTTATTGGAGGAAAATTAATGACTGTCCGTGGGCCGAGATGCCGTCGGGCAGCTGCATCATAAGCCCTAGCAGCTTCCTCCGCTGTATCAAACGTTCCAAGCCACACAAATCTTCTCTGGCTGATAACTTTGATCTCAGCTATGTAGCTCCCTGTGGGAAGCTTCCTCACACCCTTATAACGCATTTCACCTGAGGGAACTGTCACGTTGATATTATTGTTTTGTGCCATCTTAAAAATAAAAAGAGGTCTCTCAAGAATTTTTTATTTTATTTTATTTTTTTGTGAAGAGAAGAATGAGTAAACAAAGAAGGAAGAAGGGGAGTGATTTGTATAGACGTCTCTCAAGATTGGGAAATTCTCTTCCACTATGTTTACTTGCCAAAAAATATACCAGACACGATTGGTGCATTCACTGGCATAGTGATCGGCCTCACCACATTTGTAGCAACCGACACCACCACCTCTGCCACCATGACCACAACCACCACTACGACGGTCATCACCGCCAGAGTATTTACCACCTCACCGACATTGCCTTCACTTTGGGTACACTCCCTAGAAAAGTGGCCACTTTGCTAGGGAGTGTACCCAGAGTGAATTTATGGCGGCGGAGGTGGTAGATACTCCGACGGTGATGGGCGAGGCGGTGGTGGCCGTGGTGGTGGTGGCCGAGATGGTGGTGGAGGCTGCTACAAGTGTTGTGAGGACAATCATTATGCCTGTGAATGCACCAATGGTGATCATTGATCGTGACTTGAAGTCCTGACTACTACTAAAAAAATTTAATTGAAGGATTTTTTGTATATAGAGAAGACTCAGTGAGTGTAAAAAGAAGAGAAGTGTGATTTATATAGCTGTTTTTCAAAGGGATACATTTAATTTGGTCCATTAATTATTAATTACATTTGGAATGAATTATTGACTAATAATAAATCCCTAATAAATATAGTCAATACTCTTAAGATTACGTGAATTTTGACTAGGAAAATTCTCTTAAGGTCCACTAAGTAATTTACTTATCAAAAAGAATATTTCATTAATCAAAAGTATATAATCAATCAACAATATTTGAAGGTAAGTGAATCACTAAAAGGGAAATTTATTAGTTTAGTTATAACTTGTATAATCTTTGGAAACAATAATTTATTTAAGAAAATAAGTAAAGGTGACATGTGTAATTACCTTGTACCTTCGAGTTCTCCTTTCTCCATTTTTTCAATTTCTTGCTTGAATTATTGATATATGACATAAATTAAATCTAATGGCTAAGATTTAATTTATCAAAGTAAATATTTAATCATAATTTATATAATAAATACATTACATGTTAGGAAAAACAATTTCTCTTCCTTCTTGCTTATCTTTCACGCAAGATATTTATCTTTCATTCTCATTTTACATTAATTTTTTATCGCATTTTTATTTGAAACT